TGATAGTGAACTTCCCTGTGTTGATGGATGCTATTGTCCAGATGGTAATAATGGCTATTGTGTGGGTAGCGTTCTTGCAAATCTACAGCAGAACAGCTAAAAAGCTATATTTCAAGAGCTTGCCACTCAAGTTAATTTTGTTGGTGAAATTGTAAATTCTTATGGGGATAGATCAACCCGAGGGGATTCTAGGAATAATTTAATGCCCTTGTATGTTTCAAATTGCATTTTTCCCTTTGAATCTGAATATTGTTACAATCCTATTTGTTGGTAAGGTATTTCTACACTTGTCCTTTATGATAAGAAGTAAATAGTAACTTGCAGCATAAAACATTTCAGATTTGACCTGTTTTAAATCTGAAATGTCATTTTCCAAGTGTGAATGAGGTTGTTTCAATCATTTTCAAAGTGCTTAAAACTTAAAACCAATGTTTAAAAAAAGACTTTTTAAAACTGAAAACTTCCCAATCAAGCAAAAGAGTTTTGCAGCCTAAAAATCATTTTTCTTTTTCTTTTTTGCATTTGAATCAGGGCATTTTACACTTAAATGAGGCCTTTCGAATTGGAAATTGTTCATATTTAGCACATTTTGCAGTGTTAAATAATATTGTGCATTGTGAAGGATTTTTTAAAAATATTGTGCAGTCAAAAATATGTTGCGGTTGTTACCAGTCACATGACTATTGAATATACATTCTAGGCCTTATTTATGAAGACAGATTATGTGTGAGGCCAACTGACTGTCCTTGTGATTACCATGGAACTATCCACAGAACTGGTACAGTTGTTCAAGAGGAATGCAATAACTGGTAAATAACTTCCTGAAAATTTTATGTATGTTTTGCTAACCTCATACAACAACATATATATTACTATTGGACAAAAAGTTGTTAAAAGTCATATGGGTTTGTAAATTACATTTCCAAGGTAAGGGAGTTTCTTCTCATAAACATTTATTTATTTATTTAATTTAATTTATATGCCGCCCTTCTCCCAGCGGGACTCAGGGCGGCGCACAACATATTTAAAACAAAAGCATATATACAATCCCCCCCTGTAAAACCGAATTAAACCAAATTTTAAAGTTGTGTCTTCCAAATTCCTTAAAATGAACCCAGTATAAAATCCTCCCTAGGTCAGGTCCGCTTGCTGATAGAGCCATGTCTTGAGGGCGCGACGGAAGGTAAGGAGATCCGGAATCATCCGAATCTCGGGGGGTAGTTCATTCCAGAGGGTAGGGGCACCCACAGAGAAGGCCCTCCCCCTTGGAAATTTTAGCTTACCCTGACTCTCAAAAAAATATTCTCTTTGGGAAAACCTTGAAAGTAACATTTATAACCTGGTATATAACAAAACTAAGGATGCTTTTCACTATAGTATCTTAGAGTAATTTTCCTGTATTGTGCTTCCATTTCCTCAATTGTTTTCCTTACAAAAAAAAAATAATAATCTTAAGAATACTTGTGGAATGGAATGCCTTCACTTTTGGAATGATAGTACTTTGAGTCCTCTGTATAGAAACATATGAAGTTCACTAAGTAGTACATTCTCCTTTCAAGAATGTAGAAAGTTTTTGAATTTGATAGAAGTCAAGATCCTTATTATGTTTATACAGATACATACTAAAAATGTATCTTAAAGCATGGGTTTGTTTGGATATTTTCTTTCATCCAAGAGAAAGTTGTTGAATGTATTATTATGAAGAGAAGAGAAGCAGCCACATCTCTGAGTATAAAAAAAATGCAAGAGTGCTTCGTAACCAGAAACAAGATTGGTAATCCCACCAATTGTCTCAGCTAAAAATTGGGTAATTCTATGGGTTATTTTTAAAAATTTTTTTAATAATATACACTACACAAAATCCTCAGTGCTGAAGATTTTTATGTTGCAACATATAAAGCAATTTTTTTTACAGACTGTAGGACATGCTGTGGTATTGTTCAACATTGCTTGGCAGTTTATGTAATAAATAATTGTATTCTATATGCATGAATTTAAAATGGTATTTTTCTTATAATGGCATCTGTATATTTATCTAAATATCATGATTTGCTGTTTATATTGTTATTGAATTTGATGCCTAGATTGTATACTGTACTTGAAGAGTAGTCTTTGAAAGAAACTTTATCTCTCTTTTTTTTAAAAAAAAAACCAACAACTTTGTGACAAAAGAAATTCATTCTTGTTCTTGTCCCAAGCATGCCTAACTCCCCTCTTTAATAGGATTGCAAACAAGGAACCCATAGATGCCACAGTAAATTTGATGAATATGAAAAAAATCTCCTATTTATTTATATTAATGTTTCCCTAGCATAAATTGTTTTCTGAGATTAATAGCATAAACTCAACCAGAAATCTTGGTTCAGCTTTGGTTTTTGACTTTTTATGGCTTAATTCATGCTGGGGTTTTCAGTATATAATTTAGTGTTATACAATAGCTACTTTTTCAAGTCTCAAATCTTTTTTGTCTTTCAGTACATGTTCTGGAGGAAGATGGATTTGCACTAATCTTACCTGTCCAGGTAAATCAGTTTTTCGATAATTCATTGCTTTTTAGTTTGGTATATTAGTGGCAACGTTTTCGTAGGTTTTCTCAATTGTCATCCTATTATTGCAAATTAATATTTGTTTCTGATTGCCTGCCTTTTAGTAAGCTATAGCTATCTACTTATGAACATCATGTCTAAGTTTGCAGCTTAGCTCCACTCAATTTCCATTCATTTCATGTACCTATCTGCTCAGTAAGAATATACAGAGGCCAATTTTGTTTGATATAGAACAGGGGTGTCAAACTGGCAGCCCGCGGGCTGGTTTCATCATACTGGAGCCACACCCACCCCATTGCCGGCAACGGCGAAAAAGCTCCGATACGTTGCGCGATGTCACATGATGTCGCGAGCTTGACATGTCTGATATAGAATATCCATGATCAGATCTTCCAACTTAAAAACAAACCAACCAAGCCTTTTAAAAAAATATTTAACCCTTTCTTTGTGCCTTATTTCTTAATGCCTCATTTTCCAAATATAAATCATATTCTCTCCCCTCATCTTCTATGAGCTTTCACTTGGTGCCATAATTGTGCTGTGGATTTTTTAAAAAATCCCTTCAAGTTACTGCTTTAATTTTGGAAAACTGCCAACGAATGGGCTTAGATCGTTCCCCCAAAAGAAGACCCAACACTTGATTAAAAATCTAGACATAGATATCTTTCATACAGACTAAATAGTGAACCATGAATTCTCCCATGCAGAAATTCAGCATAAAAATAATGTATACTGTACATGTATGTAGTCTTTCATTCAATCATCTCAGATTGCTTGGACAAGCCCCTGCAGTTTTCTTGGCAAGGTTTTTCAAAAGTGGTTTGCCATTGCCTCCTTTCTAGGGCTGAGAGAGAGTGACTGACCTAAGGCCACCCAGTTGCCTCTGTGCCTAAGAACTAGAACTAGAACTCCTAACCTCCTTCTCATTTCTAGCCTGGTGTGTTAATCACTACACCAAACTGGTTCCTTAAGATTTATTTTAGTCATATAATAAATAGGGATAGAATATTGCTTTTTTTTTTTGCATGTTTGTGTCGTGGGCCAGGTGAAGGAGGATGAGATCTATTCACATTTATACTATGACACTGAAACAGGTTCTTAAAGAAAATAATCATTTTTAAAAATAATGAAAGGGCTATAATATAAGGAAGACAGTTGCTTTATTTATCTTTGTAATCCTTGTATGGTTTGTCTTAATATCATTCAGCATTTAATATCAAATACAACATCACAAAACATTTTTGTAGCATATTGGGAAAAAAAATCTTTTTTTTCATTCTTTGTTGCCAGCTCAGTGCTCAGTTTCAGGAGATATTCACTTCATGACATTTGATGGGCGCAAGTTTACTTTTCAAGCACCCTGCCAGTATATCTTGGCAAAAAGTCGTGTCTCTGACAAATTTGCTGTGACTCTACAAAATGCTCCTTGTGGACAGGTGAGCTGACGAAAGCAAGCATGCTGATGGCTTAAAAAATAAGTCACCTTTCTGAGAAATACATCTCTTGCTACTTTCTGATGAGTGAATCTCTGAATGTTGACAGTTTTGGTTCCATTCTGAAGACACAGGCATGACGTGCCTTATGGATTTAATGCAGGACAAATTAAAGAAAGAAGTGGTGGATTCTTCTGACTTGGATTCACCTTCTACTAAAGATCACTTGCTAGTGGGAAAAATAAACACTATTTGCCCTTCTTAGTCTGGAAGGCAGGAGTGAGCAAGTGGAGGCAGGTATTTAAAACAAGTTTAGCTGCTGATTATGTTGCCAGGTTGCAGATATGGAACCACAAGATGAGTGGCATATAAATTTGATAAATAACTAAAATAATAAAGGAGTGCGAAAGGCATGTCTGAAACAAGCTCAGCTGACTGTTGACCTGTGAAGAAAAAAGATGCAGATTTAAATGTGGGGAAATAATAATGAGCTGTGATGCAAGAGAATAGAAATACTAGCAGTGGCTGCCATAGACCATAGTACCTAGAAGTGGGCTATGAAGAAGCAAAATAGTCTAGAATAGGTAATATGGATCCCCCTCACCAAGTAATAAAAATGCTTTAAAAGCAGTGCCCCCAACCATTTGGGCACCAGGGACCGGTTCCGTGGAGAGAGATTTTTCTGCGGACCGGAGGGGGCGTGGTTTTGAATGTTGCCTGCATCCCACGATGGGGCTTCACTTGTTTGCAGGGCCTGGTTTCTGGCATGCCACAGCCCGGTACTGGTATTGGTCCACGGACTGAGGGTTGGGGACCCTGGTTTAAAGTATAGACCTGAGAAATTCCTTATTGTCAGGAGAACCAGAAAATATATACTACATTGACTGATAACAGTACCAGCAACACAATAGTAGAATCCATTCTCCTTCCCACTTTAAACACTTGAAATGTCAAGCCTGTTCCTCAAAATAAAACAGCAGAATTATCTTAACTTCAAGAAACAGAACAAAACACGGCTTTCTTCTAGTTAGGTTTTGATAGCATTGGTTTTCATTTAGCTTCTCTTACTTACTTGATGTGGATGATTTAATCATATTGCGCTGCTCCTTTATGTTCATCTGGTTGCTTAGATTCCACTCTTTATTGAACAGTTTTAAAGTGTTTCATAGACTGTCATGTGATTTCCAGATAAAACTATTTGGGTCTACAGTGGTTTCCTTTCATCATTCAACTGTGCATTTCAGATTGAGAATATGTAATAAAGCAGATTGCCTTCCAGTGAAGCATGTCTATCACCACTTTCTAACTAGTTGACCAAAAAAGGTATAAAAACATGGAATGATAAGATCTAGAGGCAGTAATTACCTGAGGTAGCTTAGATTATTCTGGGAAAAAGGAGTTTTTACAATAGAAACTCAAATGCTGAATTGTGAAAGCTAAAACAAGCTGTAATTTCAAATATTTGGCTTTGAGTTATTTATGAAAAGTGATACTTTAAAAAACTTAATAAAAGCAGAATTTCAACTTTAGATTGTTGTCTGAAAAAGAGGACTCAAAATTATTCCAATCCTTTCATAGAAATTTCATAGGTTAAAATATTTTTTTGAAATTAAATTAATTTGTAAAAGGACATTGCCAGGAAATCTAGAAAGCAAGTTTGGATGTACAAATTTCGTAAATTTTCTACATCTGAGAAAAAAAGGAAGTGAAGCTTTTTGTGGTCTGTTGGTTAACATGGCTAGAAGTATTTTATATTTAAGGTATTTGCATCTAGAAAGTACTCCATAGTTCTCAGCAATGCTACAGTATGTCCATTATTACATTCATGGCTTGTTTTGAATTACTCAACCAATCTTATTGTCTCCCACAAATGCTTTGAGATGGCAGCAACCTTTATAACTAAGTATAACACTGATATCAGATTCCCATGTTTATTAAGGAGAAAATTTGCTGGTGGCCTATGACTGTTCTGATTGGCCTTACATACTCCAGGCATGCAGACCTTATTCTAGGTTTGCACTTCCCCATTCAGGAGTAATGTGGAATCTAGGGATCCTTATAGACTCATAGGTCCTGTTCAAAGAACAGGTGGCAGCTGAGGTCAAGCAGGACTTAGCGCAATTCGATCTGATGTACTAGTTGCACTTCTTCGTGGTTCAGGCAGCCCTCTAAACAGTAACTCACACTCTTGTCACCTCACGATTCAGCTATTGGAATGTGTTCTACATGGCAATGCCTTGAAGACTCCTCAGCAGCTTCAACTGGTGTAGAATGTAGCAGCACGAGCATACTTCATAAGTGTATGGCACAACATAGCAGAACGAACCCATCAGGACAAGATTCAACAATCCATCTGCATTTAAAAGACAAAGGCCACTCTTTTGAAGACAGCAAAATCCACATTTTGGACAGAGAGGATTGCTGGTTTGAAAGAGGGGTCAAAGAGGCCATCTATGTCAAAACTGAACAGTCTTCTCTCAACAGAGGGAGAGGGATACAACATCATCTATCTTCAGTCTACAACACAGTCCTTTCAACAGTTTCAAGAAGGCTCCACACCCATTTGCACTACTCAGGTGACCTGATGACACAGATAAGCCTCCAGCTGTTTGCAAGGAGTATAAATCCTTCCATTCCCCATCATCCAGTCAGAGCTGAAGAAGTTTCTTGGATGAGAAGCAAGCCATCTTCAAAGAGAAAAAAAGAAAGTTCAGTTGCTTCGTGAAAAAGCACCCTTGGGACACCTGTGTATTTGATTTTTCTTGTCTAAATGTAGAACCTTACTTTTTTCACCATTGAATTTCATTTTGTTAGTGCCCAATTTTCAAGTCTGTCAAGATCCTTCTGTATCTTAATCCTATCTTCTGGAGTGTTGGCTATTCCTGGCAGCTTAGTGTCATCTGCAAATTTGATGAGTTCCCTATCTATCCCTTATCATTGATGAAGATGTTGAAGAGTACTGGGCCTAAAATAGAGCCTTGGGGTACCCCACTGCATATTTCCCTCCATGTAGATGCAATTCCATTGAGGATTACACATTGAGTGCAGTTGGTCAGCCAGTTATGAATCCATCTGGTGGTGATGCTATCTAACCCATATTTTTCTATCTTATCAAGTAGTAGGTTGTGGTCTACTTTATCAAATGCCTTACTGAAGTCCAAGTAAATTATATCCACAGCATTCCTTTGGTCCACTAATTTTGGCACCTTGTCAAAGAATGCAATAAGATTTGTCTGGCATGTTGTTTTTGACAAACCCATGTTGGCTTTTGGTTATGACTTTGTTTGCCTCTAGATGGTCACTGATTCATTGCTTGATTATCTTCTCCAGAATCTTCCCAGGTATTGAGGTCAGGCTGATAGGTCTGTAGTTTCCTGGATCCATTTTTTCCCTTTTTGAAGATGGATAATACTTTGATTAGATGTGTTTGACAAATGCTTCATAGATTTTGGTGCCAAAAGTCTGGATTTTCTATCATGTATTTTTTTTACTGTAGTTTTTAACATATTGTAAATGCCATGTAATATATTGTATTCATGTTTTGTTTTTTATATTGTGAGACACTTGGAGTCAGTGTCGGGCAGCATCAAAATTGAATTAAATAAATAGAGTGAAGCAGCAACTATATGTGTCATCATAGCTTATCTCATTCATTTACAACTTTTTTTCTTTTTCAATATAAATTATTACACTTTATCCTTGATCCATTATAAATTCCATTTTAGTTTAAGGCATTGTTTGTTTTCATCATCTTTCTAGAATCACGATGGAACATGTATCCGATCAATCAGTCTTATTTTCAGTCAAGATTTTAGGAGGCAAGTAACTCTGACCCATTCAGGAGATGTTTTGGTACATGATCAATATAAAGTTAATCTTCCATACATTGATGGTAAGTTAGAATAAATTTTAATGAAAATAATATTACAAATATGGAAAAGTAATGATTTTAGTTATATGTTGATTGCTAGAGTTTCATGGTCCTCTGTGCAATTTAGATGGTTTTTTTCTAAGTTCTCTATTTGGCCAGAATTAGGGATGAGAAGTGAAGAGATTGATCAATATATTGCAGCAGAATAAGTCATTAATAGACCATCATTCAGATAGAAAAAGAGATACTGTATATACTCACAAATAAGCTGAGAATTTTAGGTTCCAAAATTCATCACCCAAATTCGGTTCAGTTTTGCCATACATGGCCTTATTTGCAAATGTTATGATAATATCATTCCATGTCAATTATCAACTATCAATGTTCAATATTCTCAGCACTGGTTAGGTTAGCCGCTGCCTCTCTATTTTAAAGGATGGATTATATTTTTATGTGGTTTTAAATCCAAGGATTTAGTAGTCTATATTACATTTCCTTGTTTGTATCCCTGCTAGCAATCACAAATGGAGGATTTTATTTTTTACTGGTAGATGAAGTGGCTTCAATTCAAAGCTGAAGGAGCTTGTGTAAAATGAATTAATTTTGGAAACATTCTATATACCTTCAATATAAATACTGTAAAGTCAGTCCTACTGTAAATGATCCCATCACTTCATCATATGAAATGATGTAAAATATTTGAAGAAGCATCCAAGGTTTAGGTTTAAGGCCATCATTGCCATGAACTATCAGTGCCATCAACTTGGAAATGAACTTAGAGACTGCTTAAGCTTGAATGGAGATCCATCTCCAACAAGGTTTAAGCAAAGGGTAAAATAAAATGAGCTTTTCAACCTGTATTTGAGGTTACTATTGATATATCTTCCTTCTATTTTTGTTTTTAGATTCCTTTGAAATTAGGAAACTTTCCTCTGTATTTTTACAAATTAAATCATACATTGGATTAGAAATACTTTACGACTGGAAAGGTTTAAGACTCTATCTTGAAGCTGATGCTCAATGGAAAGATGACACCATTGGCCTCTGTGGAACTTTCAATGGAAATACTCAGGATGATTTTTTGTATGTATAATGGTAACTTTTAGAAATACATTTTCATAAACTCTAAAATAAGTTTTTAATCAGTGCAGTTTTTCAACAAGATAGAAAAAAGATAGAAAAAAACATTATTAGGAGAAAAGAAATAGTCACACTTGTAAGCCACTCATTTGAAGTGATTTTGGGTGGTGGTCTTGAGTAGCAAGAAAGTTAAAAACCGCTGGACATACAATCTGACAACCTATTGCAGATCCAAGCAGTGTACCCTTTTGTAATTAGTAGATGGAAATTTTGTAAGTGCACGGATTTTCTAAGTGCCATTCAAGATTTTTTGGCATGGCATCCAGTGTGCCAATAATCCTTGTGGCCACCACAGCTGGTTTATGCCATAATCTTTCAACTTCGATTTTCAGATCTTGATACTTTGTGATCTTCCCCAATTCTTTGTCCTTTACTCTACTATCCCCCCATGAATTTTTTTCAGCCACAGTTATACCATGAGTTTTTTCCAGCCACAGTTATATCTGGTGTGTAATGAGACAAGACTTTGCCAGTCTGCATTGGGAAATCCCACAATATTTTAACCCGATCATTTTTTTTTACTATTTTTCAACTATACTTTCAAATATTTACTTTAAGTAGTCCTTTCTTTTTGTTCCAATTTATAAATAGTAAACCGTAATGAAGTAATTTTTAGTACATTTACTATTAAGGTTCATTGCAGATATTTAAACTGGATTTGGCATTTTTACCCACCTATTGAATTCTTCCTACAGACCTGGGATAGGGCAGATGTTGTTTGGTGGAATTAAAGGGACAGTCACAGGACATAAGCTATTCCAAGTAAAGCTACCTTTTGCAATTGACTGATAGTGATTTTGTTGATGCCAATGGTGTTTGAGTACAGGTAGTTCCTGACTTACAACACTTTGTTTAGTGACCGTTCAAAGTTGCAACGCTACTGAAAAAAGTGACTTATGACCAGTTTTCACATGACTATTGTAGCATCCCCATGGTCAGGGGTGGGGAACCTTGGCTCTTTTATGACTTGTGGACTTCAACTCCCAGAATTCCTGAGCCATGGCTGGCTTAGGAATTCTGGAAGTTGAAGTCCAACAAGTCATAAAAGAGCCAAGGTTCCCCACCCCTGACCATGGTCATGTAATCAACATTCAGACACTTGGCAATCGACTCATTGATGATGGTTGTTGTGTCTTGGGGTCACATGATTCCCTTTTGCAACCATATGACCAGCAAAACCAATGGGGAAGCCAGATTCCCTTAACGACGGTTTGACTAATTTCGCAACTGCAGTGATTCACTTAACAGCTGTGGCAAGAAAAATCGTAAAATGGGGAAACACTCACTCAGCAAATGTTTCACTGAGCAATAGAAATGTTGGGCTCAATTGTGGTCACAAGCCGAGGACTACCTGCAATGCACCCAAGGCACCTATTATTATCATCGATGCTATCTTCTTTTTCTTTTGCCAAGTCATTCTATTCCTGTTTGCAGGTCTTTGTAATTGTTTCCAGTTCTTTCTCTTCTCTTCTGCTGTCTCAAGGTTCTGCCACATTCACTATCCAGACTTTGTCTTATCCACAATTGGTATTATGTGGCTGGTGCTGGTCTGTCTGAATTCTAAAGTCCCAGAGCATTTTAGCTTCTTCCTTTTTATTATGGTTCATTGAACATAATAAACATTGAACATTAGACTGGCTTTAACATTTTTATCCATCTATCATGTGCATTTTTATTATTATTATTAATCTTGTGCCTCACAAAGCTCTGTTGCTTAGAAGAAGATGATTCCCTTACATGTTTTCTCTAATACTCTAAATATTGTCCAGTTCTAGCGCTAATTCTTTTTAATCCCATTGTCATAATGCTATGGGCACTGACTAGGAGATATACTGCCAAAATAAAGCAAAGTATAGAGCATATTTTATATGCTGTCAATAAGCTTACTGTACCATAGTTAATAATTGTCTTGCAGGTAAAGCAAAACAGTTCCCCGGCCCACAGATGGCAGGCATTATGTTGTCATTGTCAACAGTAGTTTGTCAAATCTGGGCTTTATCATGCAGCCTGTTGTGATGAAGAAGGGTCCTACACATGGCTTTTTTTCATAAGCATTTGGGCCACTGTTCATATACAGAGTTCTGAACATGTCTAAATATTTGACTCACCTCTTCAAATACAGGATTGGTTTTTTGTTTTGGTGACCTCCAGATCAAGAGTTTCAAATGTTCAAGTAACAAAACTTGTTAGTCAAAAATAATAATAATTGTCTCAACTCCTGATCAAGAGACAAAATTCTGATGACAGCAAATTGGCTGTATTTGAGTGAACCTCATCAAGTTTTCATAGAATAGTAGAATGCTAGGGTTGTTTGTGGAACATAGTGTGAAAAACTTGTTATAATTTAAAGTGGTGTTTGTCAACCTTGTGAACTTTAAAATGCATAGACTTCAACACCCAGTATTCCCTGTCTTGCATGGAAAAGTCCATGTATCTTAAAGTTGCCGAGGTTGAAAAACACTGCAGAACAATGATTACTTTAGAATTTTTCAATTCTTTCAAGTTAAATTTAGAAAGGTCATGCTTAGTTGTATACCGTATAGAAATCAAATAATTGGATTGCCTAACTTTTTATAAAATGAAATATTTCTGCACACAAACCCAGTGGAGAAGGATATATTGTTTAACTTGTCACACCGTCTTCTTTTTCTGCACAAAAGGAAATAAATTAAGTAGCGTTTTTTAAAATATAAACCAACTGAATAAGTTGATTTATAGAGTCCTGATATCAGGACCACATCACAATCAGTCAATTCTATTAATGTCACTGTATGCACCCAATAATTGAAGTATGTGTTTTTAATTGGTGTTACTGCTTATTTTCAAAACCTATTATTTGCTAAAAATCAATCGATAAAAAAAGATCTCCAGTTGGAGTGCCAGAAACCACACCTCAGCTTTTTGGAAATTCCTGGAAAACATCATCATCCTGTAGTCCTGGGTATGACAGCTCATCAATAGATCCATGTGATGTTCATTTACAAGCAGGTGAGTATGACTATGGAGAGTAAGAGTGAGAAAATGTTTAAGGTTTAAGGTTCATTTTGTGCTTCTGCAACTGTGATGTCTGTATTCATATACTTAAACCTCAAAAATCAGTTCCTTGCATTACACAGATTAAGAAAATATCTAAGATGACCAGGCCCTATACATACAGGTAGCCCTTTACTTACAACAATTCATTTAGTGACCGTTTGAAGTTGCAACAGCACTGAAAAAAGTGACTTATGACCATGGTCACATGATAAAAATTCAGCCGCTTGACAATTGGTATTTATTTATGATATTTGCAGTGTGATCTCCTTTTATGACCTTCTGACAAGCAAAGTCAATGGGGAAACCATATTAATAATAATAATCTTAACAAAGGTATTAATTTAACAACTGTAGTGATTCACTGAACTGTGTCAAGAAAGGTCGTAAAATGGATCAAACATCACTTGACAAATGTTTCACTTAGCAACAAAAATTTTGGGCTCCATAGACACACACACACACACCACACATACACACACACACATTGACACTATCCTTATACAAACAAGATGACTGTTTATAATGCCCTCCTCATGGCTGTTCTATGTAGCACTATGGATATTTCTTTAGAAGTTACAGCTACCATTTATCCTTAATTTTTTTTCTTGCATTCAGTGTTGTTATAATTCAGGCCTTGAATAGTTTATTCCCTTCTATGGCTAAGCTAGATAAATGCATTCTAAAATACCTAAAATAATTAAAGGTGTACTGCTTTTTGAAAATATAAATAATAATTGCAAAACTCCTTGCACAGATTAGGTGCCTAAGTGAAATCTTTTCTTCTCGTAACTTCCACAAAACAATAGATGTTTTAGAGGTTACATTTTTTTGGGTCATATGTAATTTGTAATTTGCATAGTGACATTATTAGCATTTTTATGTGAAATGACAGAATTTAAGTTTAGCCAGGCAGTAATTAATTGTTCAAGCAGGTCATCCTAAAGTAAGGGAAACTCAAGTAGATGTTGCTTAAGTAGAATTCTCAGCATTCCTCATAAATGATCGTCTGGTGGAGCTATTGCAGCTTATATCTCTGCAATATGTCTAGTGTTGTATGATCCCTGCAGCACTCTAAATATGAATATAAGAATGAGTAGGAGGTGAAAATATTTATGGCGATTGCAATTCAAGTTCTTGAAAAAATTCAACACAATTTACATCTACAAGTACCATCAGGAACGGTGTTGTTTATCAGAGAAGCTGAAACAGACATTTTTGTTCCCCAGGATAAAAAAAAGAAGACTTTTTTAAATTAAAGAATTCCACACTAAAACTTGGTTATTTCTATTTATTACTTTGACAGCTGCTTATGCAACAGAAGCTTGCAGCATCATTACCAGAGACCTCTTTGCCCCATGCTATACCTATCTGAGTCCTCTCCCCTATTTTGAACAGTGTAGAAGAGACACCTGCAAATGTGGGCAGATCTGTATGTGTTCCGCTCTCTCCCATTATGCCCAT